ACGGATGCTCATGTTTGCAATCACTCTACAGAGTCCGTGTGGGGAAAAGGTTTGTGGTCTTTCTGAACCACAAGGCGTACTCATGTCTCGCTTGAAGACGGCTGCAACAACATGGATAATGACCAAGGAGGAGATGCACGGAACGATCGACAGCCTGATCTGCATCATCCTAGAAGGTGTCTTTGAGGTAAATTGTGGGAACCTTCGACGGGCTTGGTTGGTCTATCGCAGGGCGATGACAGTAGCCCAGCTGATGGGCCTGCACCGCTCCCCGATGCCTCCCTTGAAGCGCATCGACCCAGAGCTGCAAGCGGATCCCGGTTTCATGTGGTTCCGCATCGTGTATATGGACCGTTACCTCAGCCTTTTGCTAGGTCTGCCTCAGGGCACAACCGACAAGAGTATGGGTGCCATATCGGCTCTGCAGCATGAGCCACCCCTGGGCAAATTCGAGCGGCAACTCACCGTCATTGCATCCTGCGTATTGGAACGCAACGAGAGTGCATTTACCACAGGCGCAATCATGACAATCCAATCCATCGATTCGGAACTATTGAGACTGTCCAAGAGCATGCCCACAAGCTTTTGGCGGCCGGCGAATTTTCACAACCTTACCCCAGGATCGCCGGAGAGCCTGTTGGAAAACGTACGCTTGTCAGCCCAGGTCTACTACTATGGCTTGTTGATTCATCTCCATCTACCGTATATGATGCATGGAATAGGCGGTCGTACCGAGCACGAGTACTCGAAGATCACTTGCGTCAATGCGAGCCGGGAGATAATGACGCGCTTCATCGCTCACCGAACCTTTAACCCCATGTCGTCCTGCTCGCGGCCCGTGGACTTTTTCGCGCTCCTGGCGGCAATGACACTCCTGCTTGCTCATCTCGACGCTCATCATCATCGTGAAGCGACCAACATCCTCGCTCACCAATGCTTGAGCGACCGCGCCATACTAGGGCAAGCCCTGGAGCGGATGGATGTCATCAGTACCGTGAAAAAGGACGTAATAACCGGAAAGAGCGCCACACTGATCCGACGCCTACTCGACATCGAGGCCGACGCAGCCGAGGGACACAGTTACACCACCAGAAGTGTAATAGGAGACAACGACCACGGGCAGGAGGGCACTAGCAAGAAAGGTCAAGAGCTTCGCCTGCAAATCCCGTACCTCGGCGTTATCAAGATTGCTCGCCAGGATCCTATCTCTTGCGGGCTGCCCGGGCCGCGCCAGATGACCCCAGTCGGGTTCCCACAAAGAGCGCTAGCGCTTGCCATACCCAATGATGCGTTCACATCTCTTCCTCCTGCGTCGTCCGCGCAGGAACAACAGCCGCTTAACCATCTGCACGGCACTACCCAAAACTCCCCCTTTCAAGGGGCTCTGCCCGCGTCCGAACGGCTAAGCGCGCAATTACATGAACAGTCCATTCTGCAAGACCCCAGCCCTAGCCATGATGACATCACTCTGCAACCGCATGTGGGACTTCCTCCCATCACGGCTGGCGTCAACGACTGGACTTTTCAGGGGGTCGACATGGCATTCTTCGATAGCTTGATGAGAGGAATGCCCGGCGTGGACGCTGCCGAGTTGGAGCAGTGAATAGTTCAATATTACCGTCAACATGTTACCTAGTCATCTTCACGCTTGGGACTTTGATAGTTTTACTGCCTCTAAACAATTCTAAATTAATGAAATAAATACGCTCATGCCTTCAGTACCTGGCTACACGGTGATTACTATCCTTCAATGGACCCAAATGAAAGATACACTTTGAAATAATGCAGTACCTTTTGATGAGGTATGGTTGGCTTGCCATGGGCCCACAGAAACCATTCATACAGAATAACAAAATAGCAGCCCGTCTCCAGGCCCAGGTTCACATCTTGCACATCCTTTCTACTTAGTCTCGGTAGCCCTTTTATAGCTGTCCAAAGAATAAATAGCTGCGGGATGACATCTCTACCAAGTTCTTTTTTCTGCCAGTCAGATCACGGCCGGCCTTGCCTTTCAAATATGTTTGCCTTATTTGATATAGATTATCCTTCCTTCTCTTTCACTGATCTAAGACTAGAGGCCTTGGGGAAGTACGACCACAGATTCTATCTAAGTGTTGAGCTCCTCAGAAAGTGCACCTCGCAGCGCAGTGATTTGATGCGTCAGGAAGATACAAGAACATCAGTAAATTCTGAAAGTACGTAGAACAGTGGGAGGCATCTGACGTTATATTCCAGACACCCTTCTTGGATGCGTTGATCGGTACGATGGATCCCGTTCCTGATTCATTTTGTCCACACTGGTATCCCCACGTAGACGAATACCCCAAGTCCTCCACCTATCACTACCACAATACCAAACGTAGAGCAGCCAGGACGGTGACTCCATGAGAGTGGTTCAGTCGGTCATTCTGCCTGCACGCTTGAGGTTGCGGTGGGGTTCATTGCCTGCCTGGCTGGCTTTGTGGAGGGCAAGGTAATAATGGTGTTGTATGAGAATTGGTAAAGGCAGTGGGAGGTCCCTGCGATCACTTAAGTCTGCTTCTCCGAGCAGACTTATAACGTTGCGTCAATGGTCGAGTATGACACATGTATTGGACATGGATCTGGAAATTCTGGTTTTGTGACTCATCGACCCCGCAACTAGTTAATTAATAGTTAAGTAGGGCGCCAGATCACTGAAAGACGATCTTTTGAACTATTTCCACACTCATAGCTGGACAATACAGTAACGAAATGACCGACATCAAATACCTGATCAAGCCGACAGAGGCTCCAAATCCACAAATTCCCAAGGGACAAACAGTCGAAGTCTCCATTATTGATAAGTATTCTGGTGATGACACCTAGGGTCATCATTCGCTGATACATATAGTAGCACGCGGATGCATCTTCCTGCCTCTGATATAGTGACTCCCAAGCCAGAGCACCGCCCGTATCTAACTCTCCCATCATTCTCATTTCTAATAAGGCATCCCGGCACTAACCGCCAACTGCTCTTCGATCTTGGTCTGCGGCTGGACTATGCTACACTTCCGCCTGCTGTCCAGGATTTCCTCACCAAGTCAGGCTGGAAACTGGACGTTGAGAAGAATGTCTCTGAAATCCTACAGGAGAATAAGGTCTTGCTTGATGGCATTGAAGGCATCATATTCAGTCATCACCACTTCGATCACATGGGAGATTTCACTCAGTTTCCTAGGTCAACCAAGATCATAGTTGGACAAGGGTTTCAGAAAGCCTATTTGCCTGGATGGCCGGAGATTCCTGACTCCTCTTTGATACAAGAAGACTGGAAAGGCCGCACCGTCGAAGAACTTCATTTCAAATCCCACTCAACTATAGAAATCGGTGCCTTCAAAGCGATTGATTACTTTGAAGATGGCAGTCTTTACCTCCTCGACGCCCCAGGCCACACAATAGGCCATATTGCCGCTCTGGCGCGTGTCACATCGGGCGTCATGTCAGGTTCCGAAGACTCTGGCGAAGATACTTTCGTTCTTATGGCAGGCGATATCTGCCACTACCCCGGCGTCATTCGACCGACTGAATGGCGCCCTCTGTTGCAAGAGTACCACCCGAGTCCCCTGCCTGAGCTCTACGCGCAGGCATGTCCCGGATCAATCTTCCAACGCTTACACCCCCGAAAGAGTTGCAATGAGCCATTCTACCAGATGCCGGAACAGTGCATGGTTGACAAGCATGCAGCACGAGATTCGATTCGCAAGCTGGGAATGCTGGACGCGAGTGATAATATCCTGGTTATTCTTGCGCACGATGAGTCAATCATTGGAATTGCAGATATGTTCCCAGCAATAATCAACCACTGGAAGGAGAAAAGCTACGGGGAGAGGGTCCGATGGAGGTTTCTGAGGGATTTTCGGGCCTCTCCCGCTCAATGAAGCGATGCCACAAGCAGCGGAACAGGTGGCCTTTGCAGTGAGGCGATGCATGAAGCGTTACCAGTGAAACGATGTCAAAACGTCGGCAAAGCGCAAAATTCGCCAAGGATATTCGCTAACGTACCCGCTACCTTCTACAGAGTCTTCGAATATATCCGCATCCTTGGCTATACATGGAGGGCATCTTCATAGATATCGAGAGCTTATGTAAGCCGGACAATGGAAGCACTAGAATCTCGTCTGGAGAATAACTCGCGCTTCCTTCGATTTATCAGAAGGGCTTTAATCTGGATGCCTGAACAAAGAGCAACGGCCAACGAGCTTTTACAGGATCCTTGGTTGACGGAAGAGGAAGCTTAAAGGCATGTATTGATAATGAGGCAACCGACAGGCTAGAAGGGAACCCAGATTGGGCGAATATCAATCAGTGCCTTTGATTTGCAACCACTCTTACAATTAGTTTCTCGGAATTTTCATTTAGGAGCTACTTTTTTGGCCTCTGAAAGTACCTTCTTTGCCTCTATATATACCGTAGAAGGCGCTATCCACGGTCGCAAACTCTCAAAACTCAGTGTTTTAATATCTGTATAATACCACCCCGTCGGGCACAATGGAGGCTACGCACGTTGCTACTCAGTTTCCAATGTAAGCTACAAGGAAGATCGTCTATAGATATTATTACATGAATTTAGATTTGTATAGGTTCATATCAATTTATCACCATTTTCTGTCTTTCTTTACGCATTTGTACTGGCATTATAGCCTGCATGTGTGTTGTTATGTCGCGCTTAGCGATTGGCTTCTTGAAGGAAAGTTACTGGTACATCAGAAAGCAGCAATGCCATGTGAATCTATAACTGTATACCTGTAATAATCCCTGCAAATCCAGAGGGCCATGTTATACTACCCAGATGATGTGACTGCCATTGCCCCTGTCCAAGCCCGAACTCCGAACTCCATCCGGTTTATTTTTAAGCCAATCCGGTGTATTTATATTGCGCAGGGTTTCTCTGCTTATTTACTGTTCAATGGTAGCTATTTAATGAATCATTTCCACCATTCTCCTGACCCTCCTCTATCCTACGGCCTTCAACCTTTGTCATGATTATTTCTCTCTTCCAATTCGCCCTTTTCAGCGTGGGGTATGCAACACAGGAGGTGTTGCGGCCTGCATCAGACGGCTACAATGAATTTCGCATTGTTCGGAGCAGCCATTCGCCGGGTCACTCAATTCGAATCAAACAGCAAAACGAGTCCATCTGCGCAGCAGGCTCGCCTCAATACACCGGCTGGCTCGATGTCGGCCACAAGCATCTTTTCTTCTGGTACTTTGAGAGCCAGAATGATCCCTCCAACGACCCACTGACTTTGTGGATGACCGGGGGGCCCGGCGATTCCAGTATGATTGGCCTGTTCCAGGAGGTTGGCCCCTGTCTGGTCAATAAACACGGCAACGGGACCTACCACAACCCCTGGGGGTGGTCGCGCAACTCATCGCTGCTTTTTGTCGACCAGCCCGTCGATGTCGGGTTCTCCTACATTGATGAAGGGCATGAGCTGCCACGGGACTCGAAGGAGGCTGCGGTTGACATGCACCGCTTTCTGCAGCTGTTTGTCTCGGAAGTCTTTCCTCGCCTGCAGGATCTTCCTGTCCATCTTTCTGGGGAGTCATATGCGGTATGAAAAGATGCTTTCGTCCGGTAGGCCGTGCTGACTTTCCAGGGTCACTATATCCCGTACCTCGGCGCTCAGATCATACGACAGAACGAGCTTTATCCCAATGAGCCACAAGTTCAGCTAAAGTCGTGTCTGGTGGGCAATGGCTTTATGTCCCCGCGAGATACAACGTTTGGGTATTGGGAGACGCTCTGCACCACGAATCCAGGCGTGGAGAAGCCCGTATTCAACCAGACTCGCTGTGATATCATGGCCGCGAACATGCCCCGGTGCATGGACATCAGTGCGGTGTGTGTCCAAAATCCGGATCCAGCTTTGTGCAGCGCTGCCTTCTCTGTCTGTTACGAGGGTGTAGTCGGTTTCTACGAAGACGAGGCCGGTAAAGGGGGTCGTAACAGATTTGACAGTAAGTTGAATACTGAAATAGGAATATGCCATCTGCTAAGCACCGTCAAATACAGTCACGGCGCCTTGCGGAATCGACGAGATGTGCTACATCCAAGCTGCACGCGTTGAACAATATCTCAACACACCAGCTGTCTGGGAGGCCCTGTCACCCCCAAAACAGGTTACCGAATACAAATTGGTCTCGGAAGCGGTAATTCAGGCGTTCGCAAAGACTTCGGACGGCATGACGTCCACTTCTGATCTGGTCGCGTTTCTCCTGGCAAACCAGGTCCATTTCCTGGCTTATCAGGGTAATCTCGATCTCGCCTGCAATACAGCCGGGAACCTCCGCTGGGCGCATTCGCTGTCCTGGAGGGGTCAGGCTGAGTTCACGTCGAAGCCACTACGCCACTGGCGGTCGCTTGTTGCGGCTACGGGCCGGAATGAGACGGTTGGTACCATGAAGGAAGTTCGGGTGCGTGTGGGTGATGCGGAGACTGAGTCGCGATTTGCGCTTGTCACAGTGGATGGTGCTGGTCATCTAGTGAGCATACGGTTGAGAAGAGACTAAGCGGTAGTTCGTGCTAACTCGCTGGCAATAGCTTCCTCAAGATCGACCAGATGTAGCTCTTGATATGATGGTTCGGTGGATTACTGGCGCGACCTTTGCCTGATCGCAGGCAGGAGAGGAATTATCATGAAGGATGCCTTGCTGATAAAAAGATCGAGCATATTGGCAGACCGGGGGTAGTATTCACATCTGGAAACATACGAGGGCGCAGTATGGGCCATATTACTGATGGACGCGGGGAAAATCCGGAAAACCAGCTCCGAAGGAACCTTAGGGGACGCCTGGTGGTAGCCAGGGGGTAGTTGTAAATGCAGAGTACTGTGTATAGATGTATATATCCATCCGAGAACAATAGACTGGGAGAACTGAAGCAGTGACGACCACTACATGAAGCATGTACAACAGTATTATGGTTCCTCTTACCTGATACTGTCTTCTGAAGACAACTATCCTTGCTTGACCTGAGTTGAGCTCCGTTCGAGTCTGCGGAAATACCAGAAACAGAGCCCGTAAGTTATATCCAAGCAATAGAAAGCTCCCACAAGCCAGTACATCAGAACATTGTCGACCCAGTCCCATTTTGCAGGCCAGTAAGCGGCTCTGACGAACAGCCCTGGCACCGTGACACCGGAGGCAACAAACCGGGTGAGCCTAAAGGAGATGAGGGTCAGTTAGAGAATCTGAACATAACGGAATAGTCGAGCCTACCACATCTTATACGACATGCCTCGCGTATGGCCTCGCTGAAGGAGGAGGCCCAGTGCACTGGCGCTGAGCGTTACTTGACAAAGCATCCCGCCCCAGTACAGAGCTGCCAATGGACCAACATGGGATGAGAAGGCAAGATAACCAGACAACAGTCCTAGAATGCTGCTGAAAACAATAAAAGGTAGATGTTTCCGCACGAATGGGGAATGGGAACCAGACTCTCTCGCGAATTTGATGGTGGCATACAGGACGAACGCATTGATAGACAGCCACAGAGGAAAGATGACCCTTGCGAAAGGATTAGGTGGTAGATTGATCAGAGCAAAGGCGATCTCCCAGGCCAGGTTGTTGGATAAAGCTATCAGCGACACACCAGACATGCGGTCTTGGTATGCTTGGCGGATAGTGAAGAAGTAGTTCAGTGTCCATCCAATCCCGGAGACAATGAATGGCGTCTCCACTACCCATCGCACCTTCTGGAATTCGGCCGGGGCGGTGTTGAAATCAAATCCATCCATGTTGATGTCTATGATTTCTTGAGAAAGACTTGGCCGTGTGGACGAGGTCAATAAGGTCAACGGCGGGTGTCATCATGGGCTGATTGCTTGATCATATATTTATGCCTACCAGAAGGTAGTCTTACAACAACTCAATGCAAGGGAGTTGCACTCACCGTGATAGCAGCCGAAGCAGTGCAGAATGAGTCAGGTGGATAAGATAGTAAGCATTTTGACCAACCCTATAACTTATCTCATATGTAATCGCCAGCTGAGCTGCAGTCCAATTGGAAAACGGACGGACCAGTTGCCGTATCACACTGTCTTCACATAATAATCGGCATCTAGACTAAGAACCGCCGCTTTGGGAATGGGCTGGCTGACATGACAAGTTGCACTTTGATTGTAAGAGTGCCACAAGCGGAATATCTAGAACCAGATAATACCAAAAATTGGCATGCTTGTGTATCAGCCTGAACGACAGCCATTGCGGCAGAAAACGTTGAATATGTGATAAGATCTCACAGCGTCTCTTTTACGACAGAAACAGCTGAAACCTCCGAATTGTATTTTCCCTTGCGCCGTGCCTTCAGATCATCCGATCAATCAAGGACATAAACGATCTTACCTCTGGACAGAATGGTAATCTGTCGAACAGGGTAAGAGTCCAAAAGCCCAGATTGGAAGCCCGCCGATCTCAAACGGAATTCAATTAGAAAGAACTGCTGGAGTCGAGGGGGGAACTTTGATAACGGCGTTATACCGGTTATCGTAGTCCTCTCCGTTGCATCCTGAGGGTGCTGTGATCAATATATTCTGATATATACAGGCCTTGATGATGTCTGATCCCCGAAGCTGTAGGTTACAGTTATAACGAGGATTTCCTGTTTCCTGTGCATCACTGTTCCGGTGCATTTGCCGTAGTGCACTTGATCCAATGTGGTGTCTGGGCCGCTGATATGGTTCATGCTTCATCGTTCCTCAGCACCCTGGGCTGACAAGGGTTATATAGCACAGCCTGAAGGCTACTGCCGCTCAGCCTCGACTGATTAGTGTGATCCGGTATCTTCGTATCTTGGAATGTAACACTGAATGTCATTGGGTGAAATCTATCTTCCTATCACAGATTCAGCTTGCTCTGCTTGTGGAACTCTCCATGCAGGAAGTAGAGCAGTACTGATATATGCCATTAACCTTGATAGGTAAGTGTACACTTCATATTCTGTAACGCTGTTCATGTCATTAAGAGTTTTGCTTTATACGTAATGAATGATACCTAGGGCTTGGACTGATATACTTTGCACTGGCGAGGTCATTAAATTCGTGCAACAATCTTCCATGGCCGCAAAATTGACACTTCAAACCATGGGCGACGGCTCTGGCAACCGAATATATAAGCAAGAGCAGTTCTAGACACCAGCCATAAAATCCTTGTCTTTTGCTCCCGGCGCGGCGATTCTGCTCTCTAGAAGGATGGTAAGGGGATAGGAAGTCTCATACTCCTTATTGTGTTCTCAACGCTGACGAATGAGGGGCAGGCATTGAAAAGGTGAGGCTGGCCTGCAAAAGCAGTAGAACGAATCATTTCGTTCTATTATGCGCTGCGAAGTTGAGGTGGTGTTTTGCGATGGGTAGCACTTCCCTGGCGCTTATCTTGGTATTGCTTCAGCCTTGGGCGCTAACCGGGGATATGAAGACTCTAGGAGACCCCTCAGTTCAGCCTCGCCGATGGTGTTAATCTTCTTGAATATCCTTCCAGTGTGCGTTTCCTCTTTTTTTGGCCGATTCTGCGGTGAGGATACGATTATTGAAAGAAGCGCCATATACATCTAATATAGCAGTCTCGATCAATGGTGGACATGCTCAAACGCACCAACCACGCAGGTGATAGAGAAGTAAAGCGACAAAAAGGTGGTAGTCCAGACCAGAATGGCGCAGAGTCACAGAAGAAAAAGTTCACCCATGAGGATTACACAGTCGCATGGGTTTGCCCTCTGGAGATAGAGCTCACTGCTGCGCTGCAAATGCTTGATGAGGAACACGAGCCGCTACCACAACCACCCACCGACCACAATATCTACCATCTTGGTAGCATCGCCAGCTACAAAGTCGTCATTGCTGGGTTGTGGCAAGCCGGGAACAACCCGGCCACAGCGGTGGTGACCCAGATGCGAATTAGATTCCCGAACCTTCGCTTTGCTCTGCTGGTCGGTATAGGGGGCGGTGTGCCAACGATAACCGACAATGGCATGCTCCGCCTTGGGCATGTGGTAGTGAGCAAGCCTGTCGGACCATTTTCAGGAGCGATACAGTATAACCATGGGAAGGCGAGAGATGGTGTGTTCGAGCGGACTGGGGCGTTAGCTCCACCCCCTACAGTTCTTCTCCTTGCTGCGCAAGCGCTTGCCGTTCAGCTTGCTCGATCAGATGAAGACCTTATAATGAAGAATGTTCAACGCATAGACACAAGCAAGCCCCAGTTGCGACGGTTCAAGTTCCCTGGTGTCGAAAATGACAAGCTATTTCCAGCTGATTACAAGCATCTCTGCCCTGGACTGTCATGTGAAGAGAGTGAATGTGACATGGCACAGTGTATAAAACGCGAGATAGGTGAACTTGATCAACTCATTGTGGTACACCGGGGTACTGTAGCGTCTGGAGAGCTTGTGCTAAGGGACAGTGCACTGAGGGACCAGCTCGCCAAGGAATACGGGGTCCTGTGTTTCGAAATGGAGGCTGCCGGAGCGATGGCCGACTTCCATTGCCTTGTCATTCGCGGTATCTCACACTACTGTGATTCGCACAATAACGACCAGTGGCATGGTTTTGCAGCGGCGGCAGCTGCAGCATATGCTAGGCAGCTGTTCTTCCACATGCCGATTGATGAAGTGAAACTGTTAGTTTATTGCCCCTAGTCCGAATGCTTCAAATGCTAAACGGGATCTCATCAAGGCAAACCATCATTCCAGGAACTGATCCTGGGTTCAAGATGTTGGTTCAACGCAGTCATGATCACGAACGGCAACAGATGGCTAGCTGGCTTTGCTCAACTGATTATGCATCACAGCAAAGTGCAAATTTACGTGAGCGACAAGACGGAACTGGACAGTGGATATTTGAAGCTGATGAGTTCCGTCAGTGGGAGAGGGAGAAGGGGGTTCTTTTCTGCCCTGGGATCCCTGGTGCCGGAAAGACGATACTGACCTCCATTGTGGTTGACTATCTTCGAAAAAAGCATGGGCCAAACAACGTTGTTGGTCTTGCTTACATCTTCTGCAATTTCCAGCAGCAACAAAATCAGAAGTTAGACATCATACTGGCAAATATCCTGGGGCAGCTAGTACGAGGGCTGTACCACATTCCGGAGCAAATCCAAGCGTTTTATGACACGTACCAGCGGAATGGAATGCAACCAGAGCTTGGTGATGTGCTCGAGATGCTGGGTGTAGTTTTAGGGCTATATTCCCACGTTTATATGATGATTGACGCGTTGGACGAATGCTCAGTCTCAGACGAGACGCGGAACCATCTGATTTCCCATATCCTTGACCTCCAACAACACTTCAACATTAGCTTCATGGCAACTGCCCGGTTCATTCCGGCAATTATCTTACAGTTCGAAAACTTTCCTTCAGTGGAGATCCGAGCTAGTGACGCAGACGTGAAACGATATGTTGAGAGCAATTTACCCTCCATCGTGAGACGAAAGACAGAGATCCAAAATCTTGTCATTTCGGAAATTATCAAGAAAGCTGGTGGAATGTGCGCTCCCTCTTGAGAACACTTTCAGAAGGATATTGACTGATCGACCTAGGTTTTCACTCGCCAGATTGTATCTGAATTCCCTAAAGGGAAAATGTAGTATCACAGCTATAAAAAAGGCTCTCAACAAATTCAAGACGGGATCGGAGGTATATGAACATGCTTACGAGAAGGCAATGAAGCAAATCCAGCAACAAATAGGAGACCGAGCGGAACTCGCAAAGCGAGCATTGGCTTGGCTTACCTTTGCGGAGCGCACCCTTACCTTGATAGAACTCCAGCATGCTCTTGCTGTTGTGATTGGTGAAAGTTCATTTGATGAAGAAAACTTGCCAGACATGGAGGAGATAATCTCTTCATGTTCGGGACTGATCACGTACAATGAGGAGAATCATATCATGAGATTGGTTCACTACACAACGCAAGAATACCTGGAGAAGACATGGACGTCTTGGTTCCCAAACGCCCATTGCGCTATTGGTGAGGTTTGCGTCACCTACCTTTGTTATGATGATTTCGAAGCCGGGAGATGTGAAGGTGAGTATAAATACGAAGAAAGGTGTCAGAAGTACCCTTTGTATACATATGCAGCGGAAAGCTGGCTGTATCATGCCAGGAAGCAACCTCTCAACCACTCGCTCATCGGGAAACTGTTGATGAGTGACGGGAAGTTCGATGCTTGGGTCCAGGCTCTGAAAGAGGAAACCACACTTCTTCACCTCGTGGTTGGGTTAGGCCTTGAGGGCGAAGCAGAGACGCTGCTCAAGATCGGCCATCAGGTTAATGCAACAGATCGGCTTTTGAACACTCCCTTAAAAATCGCCGTTGAAAAGGGTCATGAAAGGCTGGAAAAGCTTCTACTTCGGTATGGGGTGAGACCTGCGCCGGACATATTTACCGCGGCTAGCATTGGGGATGAATCCTCAGTCAAGTACTTCCTTGGACTGGGGGTAGATGTGAATCTCAAAGACAAGTATGGCTGGACGTCGCTATTTCACGCTGTCCAGGAGGGTCATGAAGGAGTAGTCCGACTGCTGGTCGACGCTGGCGCAAGTACTGATCACAAGAATGCCTCTTATGGCCTTACTCCACTGTGCTTAGCAGCGAAGAATGGTCATCAAGCGGTGGTTCGACTTTTGCTCAATGAGGGCGCAAAACCAGATTTGCCTGACGAAAGCGGCAATACTCCACTAATGCACGCCTCGGTAGAAGGACACAGCGAAGTGGTATGCCTCCTTCTTAAGGCAGGCGCGCAAAAGGATTGGATTTCGAAAAACACCACCCTTGTATGTGTAGGAAGGAACGTTGGGGAGGGCACTCCGTTAGAAGTCGCTGTTGAGAACAACAAGAAGGCTGTGATACGAAACCGCTTAGCGCACAGTGCTGATCCCAATCTCTATGTCAGGAGGTCCCCTTCGTCATAGGCAATCAATAACAGAGATAAAGAGATTGTCTAACTCTTACTTCAAAACGAGCCGATCAATTTGACATATAATCTCTTGAAAGCAACAAGGCATTCTTGGAGTTTCTGCTAAAACAGGGTGCTCTATCTGACGGTGTCTCGGCATTAACATTCGCATTCACACTCACAGTCATAATTTGATTTTAATAAATATAAAATGTATTCACCTTTCCGATTATAATGCAAAATGTCTGTGAATGCAAACGCTAATTATAAGCGTTCATAGCAACTGCAATATACTTATTATTTAAGGCTGACCCATAGTATGGGGAGGAGGCCGCCTAGAGATTGAAATGATCAGATTGAGATACTCAAGCCCAAGGTAGAGGGGAATGATCGCACCGATGAAGTAGGAAATACCCATGGTGGAGGCAGAAATCCACGCCTGAGAGGCATTTGGTTTCTCCAGCTTCAGCTCAAAGTCCATCATAAACTGACCCTTCGTAAGCAAGCATCATACATGTAGATGGAGGAGGCCATACCCTAATCCAATTCTCTTGGTCTCGAGCCAGGCAGTCGACTACCATCTGGCTCGCTTCGGCGCTGATGCCATAGCCAGAGAGTATCTCATGGATCTCTTCCATCTCAGCCTGGGGTTTCGTGCACACTTCCTCCCTCTCCCGCTTCTCCTCGCTCTTGTAATGATCTCGATCGGTTACGGGGGTGAGATATGCTCCCAGCCTCGTACAGATGGCACCACTGAACAGCTCCGCGAGTCCACCAACGATGACCAGGTTGGATGAACCTAGACTAGACAGACCGGCTGTCAGGGCGAAAGGGATCGTCAGACCATCCGCGAAACTGATGACCACGTCTCGTACGAAGGCGCCAGCTTCGGAATGTTCCTCGGTAGCAGAGTGTATTTGATTCCGCTGCTCAACCACAGGCTCGACCGGAACGGTGTTGGTAGACATGGCGATAGAGCCGTGACTCTGTCAAAGGCATCTGAATGCTCTCCATCTGGCTTCTAATCGTCCTTCTCTCCTCCCAGCTCATATTACTACTGTCTACAACATGCCGTGGTATATACTTCGGCGCACTCACCTCGGCGTATCAGATCTACCCTATTTCCAAGCACCCGGGATTCAGAGTAAACAAGCCAATCACATGGAACAATTTCTAATTACACTTAAGGAGGTTGCTCGCTGTCGAATAAAGCTGAATAGAATAGGGAATCTGGATCATTCAAAGCTTGGTAGAGGCAGGCAAGTTATAGGTACCTCTTACGCAGCTCGACCAAGCTGGGATATTGGACATAAAGTCATGCACATTTTTTTGCAACAGACGCGGCCTCTTGTAGTAGTAAACAGACTAACAGGACAGATGATGCGACGATCATTCAACGTCAGGGTGATACGTCGACACGGCAATGCCGCCCGGCTTTTGCTCAGGTTCACAAAGTGCTCGATTGGCCAAGAGGCTATCCATTGAGTGACGACTGGACCATTACCTTCAGTCCCTGCTTAATCGCATCCTGAGACCTCCAACCAGACCATGTATGGTCAAGCATGCCTGCACATATTATTAGTCTTTTTTCAACGCAACAACGCATACGGAATTATTGCTTACCCCATGTCTCGTCCATGTCTTGGTTGCCTTGCCGAATGTAATAGCTCCCTGCAATGACCCAAGTAATCCAACCGGCGTGCTGCTCAGGGATCCACGTCCTCAGACAGCTGGCATACACATTCTTCCAGGTGGTGCTGTCCTGTAGGAACCCAAACTCGGTCAGGACCACCGGCATGGAATTCACAATCGACGGGTCAGACGAATTGAGGGCCTTGAATCCGGCATTCCATAGCGCACCGGACAGCGCGCTGCAGCTGGTAGCACCGGTTTCATAGTTGTGGATCTCCAGGACCAGTTTTTTCGCAAAGGAAAAGTCGGAGAGACGGAACTTGACCCCGTTGCCGAGATCCGATGCAGTCGGGATAGGCGCGAGCGTGGTATCGTAGTTCAAACCAGACAGGAAGATCAGCGCGTTGGGATTGGCCGCGTTGACCCTCTTCGCTGCCGTTGTCATCTGCGTGTACCACGTCCCCCAGTTGTACGGGTACTTTGAGTTGGCTGTGGCGGGCTGGCGAAGCTCATTGCGCAGTCCGATGCTGACAAAGTTGGGCCATGATTTGGCCTTGCTGGTCAGTATTTTTTGTCTGGTTGTGCTAGCTGACTTACATGAGAAACCATATACTCCAGCCCTCGTATCCACTTGGCAACGTCGAAGTAGGTATCTCCAAACCATGCGTTACCATCCGTGGTGGAACAGCACCACATCGCCTTCGAGATGTGATTATCCAAATGTACGTAGATTCCTTGTTTGTTGCACTCCGCAGCTACCATATCGTATACTTGAAGACGAGTCGTGGACGACGTGATCTGCGGGTTCACCTTGCGGATCTCATTGAATACCTTGGTCCCGTTCGTTGATCCCAGCGCGTTGATAAGCGATTTCTGGACGGTGACATCTCCGCCCTTGTCGAGGATATCATCCACTAGCTCAATGGGAAAGGTCAAACGAATGACATTCATTCCTAGGCTCTTGAGCTTGGAGACTGTCGATGCGATAGAAGCGTACTGCATCCCCTCTGGGATCATGACTTCGCCTGCCCCGGGCCAGTTGGCTCCGGCGTAGGTGAAGACTTCACCCTTAGAGTCATGGATCCATCGGCCTGAAACGCTGAAGGGGGCATTCAACGCCGAGCAGGCGAGGGATTGTAGCAGGACAAGAGAAGAGACGATATTCAACTTCATGGTGAGATGCCTTTGCTCTCCCAACACACGGCTGATGCCTGGAGACAAGATATCTCCTTCCTTCTGCCCTTTTATACTGGCGCGAATCAGGTACTTGAGTATACCCTGCCATCTTCCCCGCACTCGGGATATAGCCTGACGAAGACGGTCCACTTTCTGCAAGACTACGGAGAAGCGGGGAAACTAGCCTGTGTTCTCGACTCATTAATCGAACCGTTGATCTTCCATTTTTCCAATCCAGTGGTCGTCTATATCCTTCCGGTTTCCCCGAGAACGGGTATAATAAGTTGTGCATGTGACGTTCTTCACACATTGTGGCTCCCCTTTCGGGAGAATTGCCGTTCGGGGATGTCGCTCAGCTCCTTACTCGTCTATCAACTGATCTACACCACTTATACTTTTTCGTCAAAACCTTTGGCTGTCGAACCCATAGCGCGGCACGAACTAAAGTAAGTTTTCCTTCCGTCTAATGGGAGGCGGTGGTCGCCGGATCGTCGGTTGTTTTATGGTCGTCGCTCAGCTAACTTAGGAAGGTCTACCTTACGGCAACGGGCCGTCGGTGACATACTTCGACATTCTCTATTTATTACAACGAATCTGCAGCAACCAGGGCATTATCTCAGCCGAAATCTCTATCCTTGATACTGAAAAGTACCCAAACAATCCACCTAATATATCTCTGCAAAAACAGGCTGCAGAGTAAAGCCAAACTTCCTTTCCTCACATTTAACCCGATACTTGTCCAGAGTACGAGGGCCACAAGCTCCCGTTCCAACACCAGAGCTCTCCACATCCAGCCTCAATCTGATTCGTTTTTCAGGAACGAGTTCAGGCGCATGCTTGGCTGCCTCGATAGCTTCGGCACTGTACCGTGTAGCAAGCCACTGGAACAGCTCGGTCGGCTGCTTGTCACTCTCCTCCTTGACGCGAGTCACTCGAAGGCCCCATCCTCTGTTGTCATGCACACGTAGCCACCGGGTTTCCATCCGGTTGCCCCCTTCCTGGGGTACTTCGTAGGGCGTATGCAGCTCAGCCGTCGTGGCATTGTAAATGCCGACCTTCTGCGCTCGCTTCTTGTCCGCGTACGCTTCGCCAGGTCCCAGGCCGAACCACGATGTATTCTCCAGCTCTTCCGCGAGAAGTACGTCCAGGCCGATCCGAGGCAGGTCTGCTGGGATTGGCCCGTTTGGCTTCAGGTGCACGTTGACGGTTAGGGCACCCTTGCCAGAGATGGTGTAACTGGTCCAGGCGAAGAATCCCCATCCCAGAATCGGCGCGGAGATGTATGTCTCCGTGGTGACTTCTATGCTGGTGGGGGTCTGTTGAACAACGTGCATCTTGCGAAGCTGCGAGGTGAGAGTGTCGAGTCCAAAGCGCCGCCATTCACCGAGGTCATGGGACATGTCGTTGTCGGTTGGTGGACGCCAGAATCCGGGGGAGATGGCACCAGATGTTGAAGACTGGTCAAGGAGGGAGAGACCGTCGGCTGTCCAGGCGGTCAGACTGCCGGTTTCTCTTGAGAATTCCAGGGTGAATGTGGCGCCGGTGATCCTGTGTGTCGTCTTAGTGGATGAGAGTGTTAAGGGCTGAGTGGGAACAGGCAATGAGGGACGTGGAGATGATGACTTTAGGCACTGCTGGTACCATGCGACTTCGTAGTTGCTTGCGGCCCATGGCGTCTCTGCTTTTTCTTGGAAGCTGACGGTAAGCCAGACCTCCCCAGGAGTTGTTGCAGCAGGCGCAGCTGGCAGCTTGATAGTCCCTTTCTGGCCAGCAGGAATGGACGGAAGTTCTATATTGCCTGTGGAAACAATGCGCCCGCTAGCAATGTGTCAGTACCACGTTTAAGGATAGGGAGAGAGACACATACCTATCTCCCAAGACCTCAATCTTGTAGACTGCTTGGAGGCCTTCCAATCCAACAAAATTGTAGTCATTCGCCACCACCAGAGTCCCGTCCTCACCAGGCCACACACGAACCGGCGCATAGGCCTTTTTCATTTCAATAATACCAGGTGTCGGGGTGTGGTCGCTGAAGAGCAGTCCGTCCAGCACAAAGTTGCCGTCGTGGGGCGTATCGCCAAAGTCACCACCATAGCCATACCATCCCTTTTCCTCATCCCAGAGTCCGTGGTTCGCCCACTCCCAGATCCATCCTCCTTGCAGGCGCCGGTGGGTACGGAAGGCTTCCATATACTCTTCCAAGCCACC